ACTGTGTCACTTGGTGCTCAACGCTTTTTGCTGGCGTCTCCTTTTTAAGGAACTGTCGTCAATGACCTTGGCTGTTGCGAGGTCGTGAAACCTCGAAAATAATTAGCATTTAAGAAATTTGATTAACCCTTTTATTAGAATGCATCCCGAATCTGAAATAATCCTATGTATATTTGTTGTTGACAATCACAAACGTGATCGTCATCGCTTTGGTTTGGAAAGGCTTTATCTTGAAATAATTCAGCAATTTTCTTATTGAAGATAAAAAAGGTAATAAAGCCTCTAAATGTAAGTCAATAAATGTTTCCTATTCAAATATATATACATAGACTGAAGTTAACATGTGAACAATGCTTTATGTGCTTGACATTTTGGTATTAAGGTCAAATATATGTGTAAATAGATAAGTATTTGACCTGGGATATAAGGACAGAGATGATATACGTGTGTCCCTATCCGTTGATGTCAGCTCTCCTACACAACATACCAGGCGTTATCTGTGATAGCGTCATTACACAGGACTTGGGGATATACGCTGTACCGTAAAATGTCCTCACAGTGTTTACCTCGTAAACCTTTGACGGGAACGTTTGGGTGACACTTCTCAAGGAGAGGCTTTAAGCTCGCCTAACTGGGCATGAATACCATCAATGAATACGTCAAAGATTCGACAAGTTTCTAACTTTGTGGACAATTAGCTGTACTAATACGACATCCTCACATATTGAGCTTATTGTGAAAGATGCATGGTACTGAGTGTAAACCAATAAAAAATACTCTACCGCTGCAGGTTTTGGTGTAAGTGAATTATGGCAAACTACCTCAGCATTTAATGCCTAAAAGATATTTCTCGTATAATTCAGGGGATATTAACAGATTGATATATCTCTATTCTTTATTAGATATCTTATAAACAGTAAGATGTTTATGAATACTTGCATGTATGTATTCATAAATGTATGAGACATTTTTATAACATAAAAGATATATTTCAATTCATTTTGAAACATTTTTAATTATGTCAAAAGATACCTCCAATTGAACTAGAGGTATCTCTATTCCAGATAAAGATATCTATTATACTTCTGTGACCGTCTTTATGTATTAAATGCTATATAAGTTGGATTGCCATAGTGAATTAATTATTTAAAAGGGTTGACTCACGAAATGGGACCCCAGTCTGTTTCTGCGCGGGTACTATTGCATCAGTGAACATTACTTAAGATACGTTAAGGATCCAAGTCCCTCCTTCTAATTCCCTTTTGGATATAACTGTTCAGCGATAGGACCGTTGACCTGGGCCCCTAAACCATTCTCATACTCAAACTCAGATTGTGTGCTCAAGCTCAATATCTTAATTGTTCTCGTGATAAACCAATAAAAAAATTGTCAATGATAAGGACGAAATATGGAGAGACTTACAGTCAAAATCTTTTTTGAATGTTTTTACTTGATCTTTTGACCGTAAAGAATTTATTCATGAGAATGGTTTCATGAGTACGGGCCCATGTTTTGATTATAGCGACGGCACAATGATCGGAGGTCCAGGGTTGAATCCAGGACCCGTATGCATCTAACCGTTCTAGTGCTTAAAGTCAGCATATGTGTTTCTAAAAATTTATTAAAAAAACAAACGTTTTATCAATGAGTTGGAGGACATTTTGAGACGCAAGAAGCCTAATATCTTTTTCGGTGTTTACACTTGAAGTAATGATATTGTCACATGATTTATGCCAGGTACAACAAAGTTTTAGAGCACGATCTATGCTTGAGAATAAGAACGGTTTTATGAATAATTTGGTGGTCGATTATTAATATTCATTTCATCATTATCTATGTTTTCGGACAAGTTCTACAAGGTATAGCTTTCCTTTGAAGAATGATCTATCAAATCTGAAGGGCACGCCTTAAAAGGTTTTAAATGAACGGTGACAGATTTTTGGCAGTGGTGCAGGGATGCTTAACACAGGTTTTTTAGGTACTATCTAATCTCAATCGGGAACCGTCGGCACTTTCCGTAAACACATCGTTAATGGAAAGGGCCGACGGTTCCCGATTTATATAAACTATGCCTGGAGTGACCGCATCTACATACATATACCGAGAGTCGCCCTGAACATCACGATTCTAATTGCTCAGTCATAAAGCCTGATTGACAAATTGGAATAATATTGGTTAAATGTGATAAAATAAAAAGAGAATTTGTTATTCATTCTTGAAATATATCTTTTATAAAATATTAATGGAGTGTGCTTACATACCATACGTGTTCGTGTGTACTTTAAGGCTGTGTAAATTGTACGTTTGCACATGTGAGCATATTTTATATACTTTTAGGATGTCTGCAGCGTGGTTCATGTCTTTTCCTGCAATGCAGTGGACATTCATATTGCCTATGAACCGCATCTGAAAGCAGTTCAAAACTAAATATTTACTTAAGGAAGAATGTATAGAGAACACACATATGTTATCTGTACGATACACTTGTGTACGTATATACTTCACGTAAATGTACAACATGTAAATATGTACAATACGCCTTGTATACGTATAAACTACATGTAAATGTGTACAATACGCGTGTATACGTATATACTACATGTACATGTGTACAATACGCGTGTATACGTATAAACTTCACGTAAATGTGTATAAAGCACGTGTGTGCGTAACACGTCTGTACGTATATACTACATGTAAATGTGTACAAAACACGTGTGTACGTATAAACTACATGTACATGTGTACAATACGCGTGTATACGTATAAACTTCACGTAAATGTGTATAAAACACGTGTGTACGTATATACTTCACGTAAATGTATACAAAACACGTCTGTACGTATATACTACGTGTAAATGTGTACAAAACACGTGTGTACGTATATACTAAACGTAAATGTGAACAAAACGCGTGTGTACGTACATACTACAGGTAAATAGAGGATCTCTCATTCGTTTCCCTTCAATTGGATTTATTGCAAATATGAAAGAAAAAAAACGAGTATCATCAATCTAATATGAGGGAAACGAATGACAGATTCTTTAATTTTATCATCTAATACAAAGTAAACTGTATAATTGTGATATGAAACGAATATTTCGCACTTGGCCGCCTCTGAAACGATGAAAATTGCGTCCGCTTCACAATGACGTGACATCACATTGATTGTTCCTATTCGATTGTGATGTCATTTCCGGAGTGATATTATACACGTTACATTAACATAATTTATGTGATGGGTTTATGAGACTGCATAACACGGTATTCATATAATAAATATGTACAAGACACGTGTGTACGTATATACTACACGTAAATGTGTACAAAACATGTGTGTACGTATATACTATACGTAAATGAATGTTACGTCACTTGTTTGTGAGAGTAGCGTCATCAATTTTTGAGTAAACGACGTAATTTTCTCACACAAACCAATGACGTAACAACCAATACCTGCTCCCAAGAGAAGATAACTCTGCAATACGCAAAGACGGAATACTGCATGCAATGGTGTGTAATATAAGAGTGCACGAGGCGTGTGTACATTAAACAGTATTTATGTATATGATATGCACACATTTTTATCACGATGGTGGCTAACTTCTGTAATGTGATGCTTGAATAAAAATTAGAAAAGTAAAAAGCTTTTTAGTCATGAAAGCTGTTTCATTCCAGTAAAATTCAAGGTTTTATGTTTATTTCTCAGATTACATGATTTGTAGATTATATCAGTTGACCCAAAATCACACAGTATATAATTATCTTGCCTGTTCATAAAGAATTCACATTTTACAAAGTTTCAACAGATTGTGACGAATATATTTGAGAATGAAATGGAGGCCAGTCTCGATTATGGAACTACAGACACAAGCGATTACAAATAAAGAAATTACAATTTGGATCTCTCGGTTTTAGGCTACCAATATGCGTAACGCTTGTTTAAAAGTGACTATATATACACTCATGGTCTATAAGAGTGTTATAAAACACCCTATGATAATGGTGAGGCACGGTCGTGTAGTGGTAGGACGCCAGGCTCGTGACCGAAGGATTGCGGGTTCGAGTCACGGCACTGTGTTGTATCTTTGAGCAAGATACTTTACTCCGCTTGTTCCAGTCAACTCAGCTGTGAATGAGTACGTGGTTGGGCAGTGCTGGAATTGTAGAATGCTAGCTGTGACCGCCGAAATGACAGCACCGGCTGTATGCTCCCCAGGGAGTTGAGACAGATATTGGCTGGTTGCAAAGGCGCTATAACCACGAATAATAATTTGTGAACCGCTGCTTTGAGACGACCTACAAACTAGGTTGTGATAAAGCGGTATATAAGAATCTCGAATTATTATTATTATTAATATAACATAAAGATACATGTAACAATGATGAAAATAAAGAAAAAGTGAAACCAGTTTTGTTTAAAGGTTTACAAACGTTGTTTGATCAAGGGAGAAAAGTAGTCCACGTTACGTTGATTTTGTTGTACGTCTTGCATACGACCATGTATTTAACATTTGCAGTCTAATGTTCACGTTATGTTTAACTTAATACCGCTCAGAAGCTTAAAGTCATGCGTTCGTAATACTTTACACCAATAATTTTTTATTTTTACTTTCTTATCCAACATTTTGTGTCCCTCAAGATCACAATTACTCAAACACTTAAGGCGCTTCTTTGAGAATATGTTTGAACAGAACTGTGTTGCATACCCTCATAAATGTTTAAAAGATACATTTCAAACCTATATTTACGTTCTATTGCATCCACTTTTATCATTTAAGAAAAAATAGTACTTTTTCACATTTAAACAGCAAAACACCGTCATGAGAACAACATGAATTGAACAACCATGTAACGGTACGTGTAGTACTGTTAATACTACTACACACTTGTTTTTATTGAATCATGCAAACATTTTGGGTTGGTACTATTATCTAGAGGCACTGCAACACAGATGTAAATATTATCGTATAAATCGTCCATGTGTTGTTGTTACAGTGCCAGTGGTTTCGTCCACCATTTTAAAGGCGAAGTTCGATACCAATGGCGTCAGTGGAACGCTAACCTTCTCCCAGAGGTCGGCCGGCCTGATAACCATTATATCAGGATCTTTAACTGGTCTAAGCTCCACAGCTACTTGGGAGATTCGTACACTTCCGGTTCGACTCGATGTGGCCGACAGATGTGGCCGACTTGGACAGAGGTAAAATATGAAGATATATGCTATACATTCGAACACCACTATCCGGGGTTTATTGAATAGACTTACCCTACGTTTATATATATTTTCTTTCTCCTATGATTTTCATGAATAGTAAAATGGTCACAATTTTTGTATTGTCTTATGTAGAGTTTGTAAAAGCGTTAGTCGGATTAGCTTAGTCGGTCATGGCCTAAATAGGCCTATGTCACCGTTTAATATTATTTTAAGGTGACGTCCTAATTGCGACACAAATGCAGATACATCAAACAGTATTGAGATTTCTCACAAAACTTCTACACCAGCGACCTTTGCATTTGAAAACCATTATAATATTTTAAAGAAAATTTAAAATGACAGTAAGGTTGTCTTGTCCAATGCAGAACCGTCGGCACTTTCCGTAAACGTATTTCTCGTTTACGGAAAGTGCCGACAGTTCCTCATTGGTGTAACGTTAGCTGTCGTTATGTTAAGCTTTGTCACACCGTATCGACATCGTCAGCTTCTAATGTAAACCTTCAGAGGGTTACACTAGTGCTTGTATCTGTATCCCCTAGAGTAACCTGGTTATACTAGTAGGCACAGTTGCAATATTGCTTCCATCTGTATCCACTAGAGTAACCTGGTTATACTAGTAGGCACAGTTACAATAGTGCTTCCATCTGTATCCACTAGAGTAACCTGGGTATAACTTATACTAGTGGACACAGTTACAATGGTGCTTATATCTATATCCATTAGAGTAACCTGGTTATACTAGTACGGACAGTTACAATGTTGCTTGTATCTATATCCACTAGAGTAACCTGGTTATACTAATGTGGACAGTTACAATAGTGCTTCCATCTGTATCCACTAGAGTAACCTGGTTATAACTTGTTCTAGTGGGCACAGTTACAATGTGGGTTGTACAAGGCTTTCAAAGTTCAACACCATTCAAGATAGCTCACATGTACTCGACATAGAACAAAGAATGAGATGCTACACTTTTGTTACAAACTGATTTATTGATCATATGTTTAACCTTGATTTTCTCTTATCAAGATATACCGCTCTGGGAGGCACGTTACCTGTCGGCAATATACCGGTAGCAAACCTTAACGATCTTAATACCATATACGGTAAGCATAACTACTAAATTATCTCAACACCGTTTAAGGTATAGAACAACACCGTATACTTCCATTACTGTTTATTTTTTCGGTTTCTTGTTTATTTGTTCATATTTTTTATTGAACAGTTCCATTTGTTGCATTTTCTTTTTTCTTTTTGTTTGTTTGGTTTTGTTTTTATGTGAACTGCTCCCTTTACAGGTCGATCCGTAGTTGTGACCAACACGCAGAATCCCACTATGCTATCTTGTGCCACCCTGGAGGCGGACGACATGATCACCATGACTGCACGTTTCAAAAACACCATCGGTGGGGAGGTAGTTTTCCGCCAGCCATCCGCCCAATCCACTGATCCGATTTCGATTTATGTGGACCTATACCACCTTAAGGATATCTCCACTGCAACGGATACTTTCCGAAAATGGACAATATACGATAAAGAAATACAGGACAGTGACAGTGTGGAGAGCTGGTGTCAGAACCTCGGTAATGTCTTCAATCCAACATCGGCAACAGGAACCGGATGTTCTCCCCAGTCTCATCAAAATTGCAAAGCGGGTGATTTAAGCGGAAAACATAGTGCAGTGACGGTGTCTACTAATAAAGGGAGTGTGGTTCAGATGTTCCTGGACACGAAATTAAGTATTGGTGCGATGTATTCGGCCGAAGGTAAAACTCTAGTTGTTGAAACAACAGGGTCAGTTCCAGTGGCATGTGCTAAAATAATCAAGTATTCCACAAGAACAGCAAAGGTTATGATAAGTAGGAATGACATCAAAGGTGCTATGTCATTTTCCCAGAAGTCCCCATTCGACTGGACGGAAGTTAGTGTAAATCTGACGGGTTTGGCTAGCATGGCAGGCGGATACCATATCCATAATTACCCAGTCCCTCTTAAGATGAGAAAAGGTCAGGAGATATGCGGCCAGGAGTACGTTGGTGGCCATTTTAACCCTTTTAATGTGGACGGGACACTTCCAGCCCCGCGGGCGGGCACCAAGGACCAGTATGAGGTAGGAGACCTCAGTAACAAATACGGACTGCTGAACGGACTTCCGGAATTGATCATTACCCAAGCAGACTCCAACCTACCACTGTTTGGTATGAACAGTGTGATTGGACGCTCCGTAGTGATTCACAAACAGTCCGGATCGCGTTGGATCTGTGATACAATCGAATCCGAGGCCAGCGTCCTGCAGGCAGTTGCCACGTTCAAGTATCCGATCATCGGCTATATATTTCTGCGCCAACCCCAAGTGAACGGGCCGCTGTCAGAAACCCAGGTGTACATGGAACTCGATTACGGTAATTCTGCCACGCCGATGGCCACCGTCGATCATAATTGGCACATCCATGTAAATCGTATTAACGAGGCGTTCGGGATGAACGTATCCCAGAGATGTTCGTCGGTCGGAGGTCACTATAACCCCTACTCCGTCGACTTGGGTGGAAATTATGGCCAGCAATGTAACCCAAACAATCAGCTACGTTGTGAGCTAGGCGACCTGTCTGGTAAACACGGTAAGCTAAACGTTCGGACACAGCTTGGAGGAAAGACCCGGATGTTCTTCACAGACACCGATCTACCTCTCTCCGGACCTAACAGTGTCCTAGGTCGGTCAATAGTCATACACAATGCCAATTCTGGGGCTCCACGACTAGCATGCGCAAACCTTTACAACACCCCAACCAGAATAACCAAATTAGAAAACTGGTCCAAAAGTTCATACACAGGAACAACTGTATTCAACTCCAATACCCCTGGCTTTTTGGACGGACCAACTTCTGTCAGTATAAATCTAATGGGACTAGACGGTATGGCCAGTGGATATCACGTGCACAAGTATCCGGTACCATCCACAGCTTCCTGTTCCGCCACTTCTGTTGGCGGCCATTACAACCCTCTCTCAATGGTAGGCACCCCAGCCGACAAGACAGACGATATGTACGAAATCGGCGACTTGAGCGGAAAATACAATAATTTGCTGAATGGAAAGAGCAGTGTGATGTGGACGAGTGTCGATACAAACCTGCCCGTCAGAGGGAGCCACAGTGTCGTCGGGCGCTCTGTTGTGGTGCATTTCAATAACGGAACCCGGTGGAAATGTGCGAATATTGTGGAGGACACTACCACTTCCGGTGGCGAAATGTTCACCGCTAAGGTCGCGTTCAAAGGAGAAGTAGTTGGTAACATTATCTTGGTAAGTTTACTTGGTAATTGCTTGATTACATAGTGTTTGGATTACCATGGAGGTGTGTGTCTGGAGAGAGAAAGGCGGTTGTTTTAGAAGTTTGTATTTTCCGTCTCTCAGTCAGTCCTTATGGTCAGTCCTTATGTCCATTACATGGGTCGTGTTTTCTAAAAATCTCTTCAATATACCTATCTCAAAGTAAATAGCGTTACGTTGCTGCAGTTACTCACCAAATCAAACGGAACATTGTATAAGGGTGGAAAGCCTGAAGGTCGTGATCAAGGTCACCGGTCCACATCCAACTTTGTTGCAATTTGTCCAATTAAGACCGTGTCCGTTCACAATATGGTTTTTAACCAAACGTTTGTTATTGTCGCTAAAAGGAGCATGTAAGAGAAGGAATGTAAGAGGATGTGTGGAGGCTGTAGGTCAAAGTTCAAGCTCATAATCCTCACGGTGTTGTAAGGAACAAGTAGAAAACATCACTAAATTGTCTTCAATGTTCAAACATCACATCAAAATCAAAAACAATTAGAATGCGAACGTTAAAGTTCAAATGTCACCTTGTTATGTAGTACTACATTCACTAATATGACTACAGCTGTTCGTCAGTGCTGTAATTGTTTCACTTGGTAATTTCGTGTACATAAGAGACTTAAATATGACTACTTATTGTAAATGTCTGTTACTGCTATTATAGACGCAGTACCAGTACCCGGATGGTGGATTCAGTGACACAGGAATACTCATAGATTTGAAATACGCATCAAACGACACCTTAATTGTAAGTATTGTAATAGTCCACCCAGTCGTATAAGTCAGCACGCCATTATTTACTTCAGTGAACACGAGGAGAGATATTATCAAACTTGTTTTAATAATAAAAACGTTGCAGATGTCTCAAATTGAGGTGATATAGTAAATGGAATATATGAATTGTTAATAATGCAGTTTGCTACATTCAAACATATTTTATTGAAGAAAAAACAATCCAAGGGATTGGGCACAAGTTCTGACAACTTACTAGGACCAGTTTACTTGAAATTGTATTTGATGTCTGTGCACATTAAGATGTTATCTATGAAACCGACGATAAACGTATTTTTACATAATCTGTGACAATTTTTTATATATCTTTGTATGTTTGTTACATGTTATTCAATGTTGATTCATACCTTCCTGACTAGGTATATGCTTTGTATTGTCAGGTCACGTCCTAGTGGTAAACTTGTTGTTAAGCGTTAATAGTCTACATACCTGTACTCCTTGTTCAATAGAAAGATTACGTAGATGTTTGGAAGCTAGCTAAACCGTTTGAGAACGAAACACTGACAAAGGAAATGTAAATCTGTGCGCTGTCGTCACAGATTGAAACATTTCTGTGTAATATAGCATCAATTCACTGCTCGATCTGGCCATTTTCTACATGAATGCTTGACACAAACTCATCATAAACACCTTTCAGATTTTCGAAATACATGCTTGTAATCCGTAATATATTTGACTTGAGTATATACATTGTTCATTGGCAGTAAAAGACCCAGCCACCATGTGTTATACACGCCTATGTGTCGGAGGAAATTACTATTTAACAGCTCTAGTAAATACTAATGGCTATATCAGAAAACCTATTTTACATTGATCTGTTATTGATTACTGTATGACGTCAGAGATAGAAGAGTTATCGCAAGGAACAGCTAACGCCAAGAATAAAGTTTCGCCAAGAACAAAGTGTCTGGGGTGTTTATTGGGAAAGTTATCGCCAAAAATAAAGTTTCTGTGGTGTTTACTGGGAAAGTTATCGCCAAAAATAAAGTTTCTGTGGTGTTTATTGGAAAAAGTTATCGCCAAGAATAAAGTTTCTGGGGTGTTTATTGGGAAAGTTATCGCCAAGAATAAAGTTTCTGTGGTGTTTATTGGGAAAGTTATCGCCAAGAATAAAGTTTCTAGGATGTTTACTAAAAAAGTTATCGCCAAGACTAAAAGTTTCTTGGATGTTTACTGGAACAGCGATCGCCAAGAATAAAGTTTCTGGGGTGTTTACTGGAACAGCGATCGCCAAAAGTAACGTTTCTAGTGTTTTTACTAGAAAAGTTATCGCCAAGACTAAAAGTTTCTGGGATGGTTACTGGAATAGCGATCGCCAAGAATAAAGTTTCTGTGGTAATAAAGTTTCTAGGATGTTTACTAAAAAAGTTATCGCCAAGACTAAAAGTTTCTTGGATGTTTACTGGAACAGCGATCGCCAAGAATAAAGTTTCTGGGGTGTTTAGTGGAACAGCGATCGGCTAAAGTAACGTTTCTAGTGTTTTTACTAGAAAAGTTATCGCCATGACTAAAAGTTTCTGGGATGTTTACTGGAACAGCGATCGCCAAGAATAAAGTTTCTGGGGCGTTTACTGGAACAGCGATCCTCAAAAGTAAAGTTTCTAGTGTTTTTACTAGAAAAGTTATCGCCAAGACTAAAAGTTTCTGGGATGGTTACTGGAACAGTGATCGCCAAGAATAAAGTTTCTAGGATGTTTACTGGGAATGTTATCGCCAAAAGTAAAGTTTCTGGGATGTTTACTGGGAAAGTTATCACCAAGAATAAAAATCATGGGATGGTTACTGGGAATGTTATCGCCAAGAATAAGTTTCTAGTGTTTACTAGAAAGTAATCGCCAAGACTGTGATGTTAACTGAAACAGCTATCGCACAGAATAAAGTTTCTTGGATTTTGACCCGAATGTTTATGGCTATTTTATTAACTGTTTGTTTTCATAAATTTCTTTTCTTTCGATCGCTTGTCTTAATTGATCACGTGTCTTCCTCCGTCATGGTTTTATGTGTAATTTAGGTTCATACACACATCGCTATGATTCCTAGATTTATTGATTTCATCACGAAGACGAAAGTAATAAAATATCTTATGTATTTCTGGGTGTTGTTGCGGTGCTATAGAAACCTGTCTTCTCGCTGGCACGTGATCATGTGACCTCTCACTCGCGTGACTGAATCAAATGTTTATTTTCAGGTCATCTGACCCTTTGGGTCAGGATGACCTATACAGTCATCGTGCTTCGTCCGTCGTCGTCCGCCGTGCGACGTCCGTAAAGTTTCAACATTTTAAGCATCAGCTGAAATTTGCCTGAAATGGACTTGAGATGGTCCTGATCAAGTGTTGTTATTTTTCGGGTCGGTCCAAAATCCAAGATGGCCGCCATCCTAAAAAAACATTTAAAACTTCTTCTCCAGTTCCACTGGTGCCATTGAGCTAAAAATTGGTGGGGATGTTTAGGAAAGGAAGCCGACAAAGTGTTGTTATTTTTCAGCCCCGTCCAAACTTCAACATGGCAGCCATGGTGGCCATTTTGTAACATGATTGCGCAATCATGGTTTTCCTAAACAACACATATTTTAATCTTCTTCTCAAGTTCCACAAGTGGGATTGAGCTGAAACTTGCCTGAAATGATTCTGAGATGGTCCTGATAAAGTGTTGTTATTTTTCGGGTCGGTGCAAAATCCAAAATGGCCACCATGACCGCCATCTTGAAAAACACATTTTAAACTTCTTCTCAACTTCCACCAGTGGGATTGAGGTCAAACTTGCCCGAGATGGTCCTGACCAAGTGCTGTTATTTTTCGGGTTGGTCTGAAATCCAAGATGGCCGCCATCTTGAAAAACACTTTTTAAAATTCTTCTATTTCCACTGGTGCCATTGAGCTAAAAATTGGTGGGGATGTTTCGGGGTCTCGAAAGTGGAACTTACCTATAAATTTGCTTTTAAATGTTGAACGAGGCTGGTTCGACCCCTGGGGGATAGAAAGGGCGGCGACCCAAGAAAGGAAATTATCTAAAATCCTGCTTTTAAATACTACTCGTTAATGCCAAAAGTAGATTACAACAATTTCAGTATGAAACATCATTTTGAAACAATCATTTCTTATATAAATGAGGCAGGTTTAACCACCATTGACAGCGGGACAGCTAGGGCCTTAAAAAGGAGAAATCTATTCATATTTAGGTTCCAATGCTTGCTGACAGCTTTACTGACAAATAGTAACTCACTGCTGACCAAAACTACCATCATGGAAAACAAATTCTTAGAATATTTCATTGAAAGTTGAAAAGTTACCATTCTCCCTGCTCAGTCTTTGAAGTCAGATGACCGTTTAGGCCCATGGGCCTCTTGTCTATCTTAATGCTTCAATTTGTCGGAATTACATACATATGGAAACGTACCAATCATTCCTATGTAAATCATATAAACAAAGACATCGAGCCCTCGGGATAAGATTTTGAGTTCCCGGATCTCGCTAGTCTCGTTCTGAATAAACAAATAAGTCGTTTCATTCTGGACACACAACGATCACGTTTATCGTCGAGTTGACACATGGTAAAGGGCTAGCTACGCGCCCGTCTGTGTCCTAATATCTGTAAGTCGAACTATAGGTCACTGATAAAACCCACCGATAAATATTCTACTGGACACAAACAGTAGTAATAACATACACTTATCTCAACAATGCGAGTTCAAATCGCTGTTTCATTGTGCTGGACTTGTAACAAGATAAGGTAAATAAAAACAATTCAAGCCTGTCGACAGCCTGTCGCCTGTGTGTTTCCATTGGTGACGGCACAGTGAGAAACACTACAAGGTCATCAGGGTTAAAATGGCTACTGTTCCTTTACATAATTTCTAGTGTCGCGCATTTCTATTCCAAATGTTTTAAATGTACCTATAGGTTCTCAGCGTCGTATACTATTTCACTACCTGAAGCTGTGAACCCAAAATAAAGAAATACTAGATCTGATGTTAATAGAGAATTTGACAAGTACGTCGATCACTGTAGCACAGAGGCACAACATCAAGCTATTCACCTGTAAATGGCCATTGATATGTATATATATATGTTACTTTGGAAAGAATGTGAGCTAGCAATTAATTGTCTCTGCCCCTGTGCTGCATATATAGTGTTAAAAGTAAATTTTGAATTCGAAACGCGCTGCTCTTTTATTTGGACTAGATATGTTTATGACATGTATTGACGATTTTATATTCTTGCAGACACACGGTCATAAATGGCACGTGCACGAGAAACCAATGACCGGAGACTGTAACAGTGCTGGACCCCACTACAATCCCTTCATGGTGGACCTGGTACGTTAGCAAGGGAGACAACCATCGCCTAGTGAATCGGGAACCGTCGGCACTTTCCGTAAACGAGAAAGTACACTTTAATAGAATATAGTTTCTCGTATACGGAAATTTCCGACGGTTCCCGATTGTCGCCTATTAGGATTTTAATTACGCAGAGTGTATAACAAGAAAAAAATTCATATAACGTCATGCCGTTGTAAAAGAAAATATTTCTTTTAAAGTTCAACACATTCAAAAAGTAAAGTCGGCAATTTTCATAGCCAATTAGCCTCAAACATGTAAGTTGAGAATCTGAAGAAAACATATTTTTTTTCCTGTACACAGACAAATTATACTGAGTGTTCCCCTTACAACCAACTACGGTGTGAAGCAGGCGACCTGTCCTCTAAGACAGCCGTGTACGACATCGGGTATGGCAAGCGTTTCTATACTGATGTAAACCTAAACATCGTCGAAGACTTCGGAGGTATGACTGCAATTTCTGATCGGTAATAATTAGGGTTTAGGTATCAATAAATCACAATCAAATACCGTTTATCCTATCAAATCATCAAAATGTTAAAAAAAATGCATCGATTACTTGAAATCAGAAAATATCCCATATTGACCGCTATTTTCTTATTTACATTAACTCTGTACTGTGGTATATGTTCTATAGTGGTCGGAAGGTCTATAGTAATACACCAAGCCAACAATGGCGGTCCCAGATATGTGTGTGGTGACATATTGCCGGAAACCAGCTACAGTGAAAGAATGAACTTCCAATTGTCAACTGTGATGGTCGATAAGTAAGTATAATCAAGTAAATGTAAGGGACAGATAACTCTGATATTTAAACAACCTAAAGAAAATCGGTTGATAACCCAAGTGTTTTATAGTAAATATGTGTCGGGGGCAGATAACTGCAGTGTATAAACAGCAATAAATATGTTAGTGTATCAAGGGCAGATAACTGCAGTGTATAAACAGCAATATATATGTTAGTGTAACAAAGGCAGATAACTACAGTGTATAAACAGTAATACATATGTTAGTGTAACAAGGGCAGATAACTACAGTGTATAAACAGTAATAAATATGTTATTATATCAAGGGCAGATAACTACAGTGTATAAACAGTAATAAATATGTTAGTGTATCAAGGGCAGATAACTACAGTGTATAAACAGCAATAAATATGTTAATATATCAAGGGCAGATAACTACAGTGTATAAACAGTAATAAATATGTTAGTGTATCAAGGGCAGATAACTACAGTGTATAAACAGCAATAAATATGTTAATATATCAAGGGCAGATAACTACAGTGTATAAACAGTAATAAATATGTTAGTGTATCAAGGGCAGATAACTACAGTGTATAAACAGCAATAAATATGTTAATATATCAAGGGCAGATAACTACAGTGTATAAACAGCAATAAATATGTTAATATATCAAGGACAGATAACTACAGTGTATAAACAGTAATAAATATGTTAGTGTATCAAGGGCAGATAACTACAGTGTATAAACAGCAATAAATATGTAAGTGTATCAAGGGCAGATAACTAAAGTGTATAAACAGCAATAAATATGTAAGTGTATCAAGGATAGATAACTACAGTGTATAAACAGTAATAAATATGTAAGTGTATCAAGGACAGATAACTACAGTGTATAAACAGCAATAAATATGTAAGTGTATCAAGGATAGATAACTACAGTGTATAAACAGCAATACATATGTAAGTGTCTCAAGGACATATAACTACAGTGTATAAACAGCAAAAAATATGTTATTGTATCAAGGGCAGATAACTACAGTGTATAAACAGTAATAAATATGTTATTGTATCAAGGGCAGATAACTACAGTGTATAAACAGTAATAAATATGTTATTGTATCAAGGGCAGATAACTACAGTGTATAAACAGCAATACATATGTAAGTGTCTCAAGGACATATAACTAGAGTGTATAAACAGCAAAAAATATGTTATTGGATCAAGGGCAGATAACTACAGGGTATAAACAGCAATAAATATGTAAGTGTATCAAGGGCAGATAACTACAAGCAATAAACAGCAATACGTATGTAGTTTTTCAGGGAAAGATGAGTCCGGTGTATAAACTACAAGTTAATTCAATTAACTCTTTCGTGGAAATTCACTGATAGGAAACATGTGGATAAGTACGGATAACTTTAGTGTTGAAATACTTAATGTTAGGCAGTCATGTGGGAGGAGCAGATAACCCCAGTGTAGAAATACTTAATGTAAGGCATTCATGTGGGAGGAGCAGATAACCCCAGTGTAGAAATTCTTAATGTTAGGCAGTCATGTGGCAGGAGCAGATAACCCCATTGTAGAAATACTTAATGTTAGGCAGTCATGTGGGAGGAGCAGATAACCCCAGTGGAGAAATACTTAATGTAAGGCAGTCATGTGGCAGGAGCAGATAACCCCAGTGTAGAAATACTTATGTAAGGCAGTCATGTGGCAGGAGCAGATAACCCCAGGGTAGAAATACTTAATGTTAGGCAGTCATGTGGCAGTAGCAGATAACCCCAGTGTAGAAATACTTAATGTAAGGCAGTCATGTGGCAGGAGCAGATAACCCCAGTGTAGAAATACTTATGTAAGGCAGTCATGTGGCAGGAGCAGATAACCCCAGTGTAGAAATACTTAATGATAGGCAGTCATGTGGCAGGAGCAGATAACCCCATTGTAGAAATACTTAATGTTAGGCAGTCATGTGGCAGGAGCAGGTAACCCCAGTGTAGAAATACTTAATGTTAGGCAGTCATGTGGGATGAGCAGATAACCCCAGTGTAGAAATACTTAATGTAAGGCAGTCATGTGGCAGGAGCAGATAACCCCTGTGTAGAAATACTTAATGTTAGGCGGTCATGTGGGAGGAGCAGATAACCCCAGTGTAGAAATACTTAATGTTAGGCAGTCATGTGGCAGGAGCAGATAACCCCAGTGTAGAAATACTTAATGTTAGGCAGTCATGTGGCAGGAGCAGATAACCCCAGTGTAGAAATACTTAATGTAAGGCAGTCATGTGGCAGGAGCAGATAACCCCAGTGTAGAAATACTTATGTAAGGCAGTCATGTGGCAGGAGCAGATAACCCCAGTGTAGAAATACTTAATGTTAGGCAGTCATGTGGCAGGAGCAGATAACTCCAGTGTAGAAATACTTAATGTAAGGCAGTCATGTGGCAGGAGCAGATAACTCCCGTGAAATTCAACAGTGGCCGGGGCTAGCTCCATTATCTTTTTTGGTTTATATAAAATAATTGGTAGATTTATGATATATATATGAACATATAACTAAAAGTGTGTACAACAGTGTGCTGAGGGTATGCTTAATGGACAGAATATCCAATTTGTATTAAAACAATTGGTATATAATTAAACGTTTTATTTATAAACCATAACATGGCAACGATGGATTAACACAGACAAGCAAACGTACTGACAATATGGTTTACGTTAACGTGGTACAATGTCTATGTAAACAGGTAGTTTAAGGATATACCAGACTTTGAGAGAGGGTCTCACGATTCTCATTAGCTTTGCGATGATCTTGACAATGTGGTTGTCTGTACATTTTGCCGCCAATATGTCTATAATCTTGTCGTTTTCGTATTTAGGTCGTCAATGATGACCACCATTGCAGCCGCTCTTAATTCCCGACCAAACAACATGGCGTTAATGCAGATGTCAGACGGACCCGGATGTGTGGAAGTTGACGTCATGTTTACAGGTAGCGTCACCTGGTGTGATTCTTCGAAATAGAGTTATGTTTTGGCTGGACGGAGTGTGGTAACCAGCAGCTTAATTAGTCTTAACTCCAGTACTACATGTACTAGAATAGTGAGAGTAGATACTGTTTTGGGATTTCAATATCCTTGGAACAGAAGAAACACGGTATTGAAGAAATGAAAACAAACCTTCCCACTTACGAATGTTTTGGGTTAGGGTTTTAAAGGACGTGTGGATTGAGTGGTGTTTGGAATTGTTGTGGACATATTCCAAACGCTTATGTAGCAATTTATTTCTTGAATACTGTTATAAAAACCACGCATATTAATTAGATAGATACATAATCTAGAGTCTAAAACAAAACTTCTGTTTCAAAGTCAAACAATAAATTATGTATGTAGCAATAACATGACACTCTTATATAAGAGTTGTCAAAATAAACCTGGATTTTTGTTCACCATGCTAATTTTGATTTCCTTCCAGGAGCCAATGCGGAGAGGATGCGGGCGGACCTCCACGCTATGGTGATGCGAAATGACCCGACATTGGGCGTGTACGCACCCTCCCCGTCAGTCTGTGGAGCAGGTAAGGGTGTATTGGGTTCTGTATCACATGTGTGTGAGCTTTATTGTCAACCAAGGCACTCAGTAATCTGACCAGGTCTTTAAAGTTGGATTGTCTACTTCCGTGTTGTTCGGTCGAAGTCTGATAGGTCATATGAATGTGGTCTGTTATTATTATGTAAAGAGACAGGATGTTATATGACATGACTGTGGTTATTTGTTTAGCCCACGCAGAACGTATCACATTAAGTTATTACATAAAAGTGTCTCACTTTACAGTTTGTCAACAAAAAGACATTTCGCAACTGGAAATTCCTCTTTATGAAAAAGATACTAGAATGACCATTCATTTTTCTGGTGATTTTCATTTTAAAATACCTTTCTTCGGTTGACTGGAGTTTGTTTAACACGTGGTGACGGGAACATGTGATGTAGGCCGAACATTCTAGTGTCAAATATACATCGATATACCGTCCGTTCGTGCCCTCGAAGACGTAATCACCCTCCCATGATACCTCTATGTCTTCACAAACTTCTCCTCTTATACGAGTTCCACATTTCAACCTTCTGGGGTCAAAACCAAGGTCAAAACCAAGGTCAAAGAACTACCAATGCGTGTTCAGAAAACTTATATATGAAAGTTTGTACTTCAACCTTCTTCGGTCAAAAACAAGGTCACCATTACTATAAGTATGATTTTGGTTTCATCGCTCTAGAGACAATGTTAAGAAACGTTCTACCCACGTTCACGAACATTTCCTTGTGTTCGGGTTTCCATTTCAGCTTTCTGTGGTAAGAAAAACTGGCTGTTACTGTAAATAGATCGTTGGTGTTAGCTATAGATTTCTCCTCCGATCGTCTTTACAAACATCAGCTCTTGTTTGTGATAGTTGTTTGACCTTCAGAGGTCAAAAGCAATATCAATTACTATAAATAAACATATTTCAATTTATCAAAGGGTTATGAAACTTAGAAAACATGTTCTCAAAGCCCCCCCCCCCCCCCCCCCAAAAAAAAAAGCCGAACGAATAAAGGTTCATACACTTAGCATTTCTGATCACATCCAGTCACAAGGGTACGACTATCCTCTGCGATACCTGGAAAATCATTTTAAAATCTTATTTTTTTTGCACCACGAGGTACAATATGTAAGCTTGTCCAATGGATGAATTCGGTCAACATGTGTATCAGTAAGAGAGCCGTTTTATAATCACATCGTAACGAAACTATGGAGGAAATGTGATAGTGTATGAATGATATGTAGGTTAAATTATTCACATTTAAATACGTCGCCTCGGTAAGCATTTGGCAAATTTCCATTATAATTTATTTTTAGCATTCCAAGAAATTCTGCGGATTTTTACAAGGATATGAACAATTCGAATTTAAATCAGATTACAATAATATCAGGAAACACAAGGATTTGTATTGAATCATTTGGGACAAGGGGCCAAACGCCTGGCTTACGGTTGTTCACGGACTTGATATCATCAACGCTTTGCTGTTCGTTTATATTTGTTAATATTTTTCATGTGCATGTATTCATTTCGTGGTGATTTGGTCATCACTTTTAATTTATGTACAATCATGTTCCTGTTCCAGCGAAAGGCTACGTAAACAATATTGTCGTGCCAACAGGAGTAAGTTTGGTTCTGTGTATCGTTATCTTTAAACGTTCCGGACCGCTGTTCATTAAGTTGCCCTCGTGCTCAAACTCAATTCTGTGCTCATTTCCTTGTTTCGATGCTAAATTAATAAAAAAACAACACTCCTATTTTGTCATTGAGAGACTTAGAGACATATACATTTTTCAGTAGGACTTTTTGGTCATGTCACGTGACTTTTTGGTCGTGTCACATGATTTAAACCAGTTACAAGAAAGAAGGGTTGAGCATAGAATCCATGTTTGAGCGTGAGAACGGTTTCATGGATTCGGGCATCGGTATCAATGGTGACGGGCGCTCCACTAGAGATATCGTGTCGAAAGCAAACAAAGGCGAACAACTTTTATCCTAAATGCATATTTTAAAATCTTGAAGGTCCTGAAAAATCAAAGGGTTATACCTGAATACGCGAACTTTCCCCTTTACCACTCAAACACGTCCCTCAATCTTAACTTGACTTTAACTCGCCCCGCTGTTGTAAATTTACTCAAAATTACCCCTGTATAGCCTCTTAACTTGAACTCTTCCTTCCATCATAATAACACATACTTTACTCGAACTCAACTCTTCCTTTTACTTTTAAAACTCGCCCCTCTGTCGCCGTGTTACTATTACTCAAACTCTTGCCTTCTATCATAACTCAGAACATGCCCTCCGTCTTAATGTTACCTGTTTTATAAGAGCAGGAGTGTCTAGACGTGTAAAGCTATATGCGTTTTAGTTGATTTCGAGAATTGATCTCGGAAAAAAGTATTCACAATACAATACTGTGTGGTGTTAGGGGCGGGGCTACATCAGCCATATAACTGAATTTTCCTTTTTTTGGACATAAAGTTTAATTATTTATAATCCTTTAATTTTTGATACCTTTCCTGTGGGCGCCTGTTATTATAATACGACTGTAACGCATGTGTTGACAGATAGATTATATCTTACCTGCCGTGTGGTGTTGGTCCTTAATATAGAACCATATATTTAGCTCCACCTGGTGGGGATATGGTTCAGAACGTAGAGAATTTATGCTAAATGCAGATTCTACCCAGAGTTGTCGTTCCTTACATTCACTAAGAACGACAACTCTGGGTGATGCTGATGGCGGGCAAAAATGTATTGCATGAATGTTAGCGTGCTTTTGCTGTTTGTGTAGGGTCATTTGAAAGGAGATTGCAGATAAAGTTTCAGTGTATTGTGTACTGTAATAAAAAAAATGTATACGACCACTGTCCACTTTGCATGGCTTTATGGGCGGTATCCATATCCAGGGGTTACGCTCACTTTCGCTCTCTACACCCCTGGAATATGTCAAAGCAAAAGCGTAGGCTCAGTGTGCGCCGCCTTGTCGATGAGACAAGAAGGCTAGTTCGATCCTTTGATATACATCAAAATAATCTAGCGGTCGCGTAACGGTAAATATTGACAGGCTTTGAAGCCGGGCGTCTCTCCTTTGTAATCTTCAAAGGACAGGTATCAGCCTTGCGATTGGTCAGGTTTTTTTTTTTTTTTTTTTACCAGAGACCAATAAAACCGCTATCTTCGTGCCTTCAATTTTGCTATTACATATTCCAGGGGTGTAGAGAGCGAAAGTTAACGTAACCCCTGGATATCGAGGATGGGCGGTGTATTCCCGCTTACACGACACGATATTAACACTTATCGTTGTTTCATTTTCAGCTGGAGTTTCTTTTTCGTTGGTGGCTGTTCTTCTTTCCTTATTCCTCCAGCGTCTGATGTCCCTGGCTTAGAAGTCTTCTGCGTCAGATTCTTCATTGTCACGTGACTCGTCAGACCTTTTTCAATTCGCCATTACATATGACGCCGATGAGTTACAAACATTGTCTTCCAGTTCCGTGATCAAAGACAACAGTATTGTAGATATGGAACTTTATCATGCAGGAATCACAAAACATAGGATATTAGCATTTCTCCCGTACAGGGGCAACCACATGTAAGACATTATCAGTGCCCACATACATGGATCATAAAATATTGTATATAAGATATTACCATTTCCCCCATGCCGCGGCGACCAGAAATAAGACATTAAACTTTCTATATCCCTTGTAACCAGGGCAACCTGGTCTCCATTACGGTTCATAGACGTTGTAAATAAGATAGGTAAGGTTATTATTGCATTATTGATCAAGACTAGCAAAGTGTTTATATAATAGTTACATCATTGTGTCGCCTTAAACATTTTTAATTATGGTAAGTTGTGACTGAATGATGTACAATTGCAGTAAAATTGTACATACACCTTAAGTTATTTTGATATTTACCATAATAGTGCTATAGATAGTACATATACTACAGACAGTTATTTCGAACCCACGGTTATGATGAAGTCGATTTAGGGCGGGGAACTTGAACTAGAATCGGTGAAGTATTGGAAGGAATTTGTAAGGTTATGTGACAAAGACATTTGAATTCACATATCATGTGTAGTCGTACATTTTCTCCACATTTTAGTTGCTGAAACTTTGACTCGTGAAACTATACTTTATGAAGTAATGCTCCTTTTTTTCTTCATCATAAATTTTCGTTTCTGGAACCTGGTGCTGATTTAACAATGTTATGTTTGCCATGAAACATGGTGTTAAGGGTATATGCTACCTTGTTTCTACATACATTTTCTCTTCAAACACAGAACAAGTAACAGAACAGTCGGGCAATTCTGTTTGGTGTGGTCAAATTAAATTATTTCAAGGGATATAATTCGTACACAGGTATAATGTGTGAGGGAGAAAGCCTTTCCATATGGAAGGATGGAAAGCATAGAAAAAATATTTACATATATGATAAATATAAGGTGTAAGGGAGATAACTCTAACACAAATTACAGGTGTCATCTCAATCGGGAACTGTCGGCACTTTCCGTTAACGAGAACGGAAAGTGCCGACGCTTCCCGAATGGTATTATCTCTAACTCAAATTCTTGATATAATGTGAAAGGGAGACAACTCTTATGCCAATGACAGGTTTGTATAAGGTAGCATATGTCCTTAAGTGTGTAGGGCGGATGTCACAGATTTGTAGTTTATAAGTACTTAATGCCCTGGTCCATTACCATAACCAGCCCAGCTGTTTCTTAAGAAGTAGGACGTCAATAACGTTTAAATGCACACGGATCCTTTCTGCTAAATTTGATGTGTCTACGTTGATGTTGTTATGATGACGGAGCGTAAGAACGTTGGTATGTGTGATGTGCTTGTGTGGGTATGGAGGCAGCTTATGCATGGCTTGATTATGTTACCCTGCGGTCATTACATCTGTGACGACGATATTTGTAGACTGAATTGGCCTGTTAATACATGTGTTTTTTCTACCTCATTGCTTATACGTCTTAACGAGAGAGAAGACAAACATTTGTACCAAATTCAGAGGAATTTAACGTAAAGAGCTTTAATATACAGTCTGATATTACATGCCCATTCATATATTTTTCTAATATATTGTCGTGTTGTCGGAAACCATTATAGGCCTCCAACTGATTATAAAGCTGATGTATTTGTATTCATCCTATCAAAGTCCTTAAAATAGAAACTCCTGCTCAAAATGAAAGGGGAAGAGTACTTCTTAAAATGCAGATTTAATTATTTCGTGATTTATTCTTAGAACGCTAGACCAAGTTATGAAATATCAGCAAAGTCTTGTGATAATACTATATGTAATTTGAAGATTGGGCACCAAGTGTTACTCATCAGAACCATCTAGTAAATTTACTAGGGCTGCAACGATACGCATACCTCACGATACGATGCTTACGATACGATACGTATCACGATACAAATATATGATTAAAAGGTCAATTTCATAATGATTGAGTGTAATTTTATCGAGTTTTGTCACAGACTTCAATAGTAAATACTACCTAAATATATTTTTGTTTAATTTCTAGTACTTTTGGGTAAATATGAACAGTGGACAACATCTTTACTGAAGGGTTCAATAAAATTAATATAAGTACACTTTATTTAGGAGTTTCATAAAAATCTATTGATAATTTAAGTACTGTTTCTCGATGCATGCAAACAAAACAAATCGATACGATACAAAAGAAAGTATCGCGATACGATACACAAGAAAGTATCGCGATACGATATATCGTTGCAGTCCTAAAATATACTACTAGCTAGCTTACAGACTTTGTTACATTGTGTATGTATCCGTTATAAGTCGACACACTATCTAGGTGAACAGAATGTATATGTCGGTCCATTCTACCAATGTCGACGTCACCATACCCACACACGTACGTACCACTGCAGCTGTGAACAGTTTGGGTTATAATTAAGCATGTGCGGCAATAGACACCTTTCTATTTGTATGTTGTTTTCTGTGAATAACTCCGCCAGCTGTGTATATTGTATTGTGATTAAACGGGTGATGTTGATATTGTATACAAATCATTATATGCTTAGCCTATACAGGGAAAATTCATGTTATCATCTGAGGTAATTCATCCCGATTTTCACATTTCCAAACAAAATAAACATTCATGTCATGTTTGTCTAGATCTGAAGATTATTTTAAAGAATATTTAAAAATCTTTTTATAACTACGCATATTTCTGCAATGGTGAACTTCGAACACACTTCAATTAGTGTTATTGTCACAATCATATTTGACGTTTTAGTTTTCTTTGTGGACCCTGTTGTCACGTGACATCCTGATCGGCATGCGATACCCTTTGTCACGTGATACTGTTTCTCTAATTGTCACGCGACACCCATCACTTTCATGTTATATTAGCCATTTCGCTCTTACTACCTTAAATAACACTTGAAACTTGGTGTACCAAGTGACAAGTATTTCGGAAACTGTTAATGCAAATTCGAATATCTTTGTCAACAGAAATTGCTTTTAACTCATCCACCCCTGAAGACACATTTGAACTCTTCCAATTCAAAGGTTGGAATAGTTCATTATGAAACTTTAGGGGTGAATGAGTTAAACATTGTTCGCTGTTATTCACACAACTGAAATTCTTAGAATGGTTTGGGGATATGACGTTTGCCATTGTTATTTTTGGTGATCGTGTAATTATTTTGCCATGTTCCTAGAATGTATTCCACACTCCTTCACAGATCTATATATGTATACATATTTTCGTTCAATTCAATAGTTTATAAAATGTTGTTGCTAATAAATTTAACATTTAATTTTTCAAAATCAAATTGTTGTATTATTTGGAAAAAGGTAAGATTTTATGAAATAGAAACTGCACAACAGGTCACTAATTAATGGCCTAGTTGATGTTGCTTAACATTTCTGTCGGTCAGATCCCCCGCCCTTTTTAGCACTAATTTGTTCGGGTCCTATATCATTCAGCTGAAAATCATTCATTTCATAACACCAGGGGAAAATGTCTCTCAGAAAGATTACATATAAAAGTACCACATCATCCCGATATTATTACCGCCACGCTCCGCTAGGAGATAAACATCATCGTTGCTTGGGTAATAGTTTGAGAGGACCAGGTAATAATTGTTATACAATTTGATTTATAGGTTGTACACTGCATCGTTAATCCCAAAACGTCAGAGATAAAAAGTCAAACGTTTAAGGCTACTTTTAAAATAATTTAATAACCACAAAACTCGGAAAGTCCCCATTTTCTTTGGCTATGCTCAATATTACTATAAACAAACTAGTATGCATCGTTGCAACAGTGTGCGGGGGCGTCTGATAATGTTTGAAAATTATTGCGCAATACAGATTAGAATAGAAATGTGTTGCTACGCTCAATATTGCTATTTAAATAATAATACTTATGCAGCACATTTTTAAAATAATTAATGTTTAAAAATTGGAAATACATCAACTTGTTTAAATTTGCAATCTATTTACATTTTAAAATGCACCAGAAAACTTTTTTCCAGGGAAAGGTAATGCTATGGATTCGCAAAAAAAATTCTACATTTTCACATCCAAACGCTCAACAGTAACAACAAATTACATTATAATTAACAAATAGCAATTATCTTTCCCAAATATTCACTTTCACAAAGCAAAAGGTACGTATAATAGCTTCCCGAAATGTAGCTCACTGTCCGGTCAATCTGTTTTCTGATATTTGATGTCGTCGGCCACATGTCAATTGCCTATGACATATAATGATCGAATTTGAAATTGAAATAGTTCTGGCAATCAGCTACAGGTGCCACAAACTAGAGAAGTGACCTTCCACTGACATTTGAAAACTAGGGACGAATACAAGTATTTATATAAATGTGACCGAGGTAAGGGAGACCACTCGTGTTGGTGACACTTTGTTTCGGGTAAAAAGAACGACCCAAGTTTGTACGTCATACTCTAGCAATTTTATCTCACTCAAATATTCATAAACGTCTCATTCGAACGTGTCAAAAATCGCAAGATTCCTTATTTTTTTTCTATATTTCATGGGCAGGTATCAAAATCAAATTTGAATCCCATATTATCTTTTTAAAGACCTAAAAATGTAATGATATTAATACAACTGCTCTGTAACTGCGGGGATTTTTTGTAATTTCTTTAATTGGTTCCATTAAAAAATAAAAATAAATGGACGAGGAAAAAAATTCCTATCGGCCTACCCTGTTTTTCATTTTACCTGAAACATACATTTTTAGGTCTAAAAGACAAACAATATACGTTTGCCGGTTTTCAAAAAAACAACTCATATGAATAAAAACATATTCAGAAAGAGCTTAGTTGTTCACAGGTAGATAAAAATCAAATTTTGAAAACTAACTGCACCAAGTTTACATTGAAATATACGTAAGATATATTACCTCAAAGTTATATTCATTGATTGTACTGAACATGCTTGACGCATTTAATTTTACAGAAAAAGGCGCGCACTAGTGATGCAAGTCGGCCCGTCAAAGCAAAGAAACCAATGTACAGAAAACTTACAGAAAAGTCCAGACGGGAAAAACTATCATCTCAGGTCGTTGCCATTGTTACCAAGTATGCCCGTATGTTTAGAATCGACCCACGATTTGCGCGGAGGAAACTACATTTGCTGAACTATAAAGGTCGCGTGTGCTTCGGCCATCGGAGATACCGTGTGTGTTGCCGGAAATCACGTGTCCTAGTCCATGGCGCCCCCGTTGTATGTCGGTCACTGGTAGCTAGGGGATACCAGGGACGATAACAGGATTCGACATCTTGAAAATGTACTAAGTTTGAATTGAAGTCCTTGAACTTTGTGTGTAGTTTTAAATAATCCAATAAACGATAAATCAACTGAAGCTGAAGGCAATATTTTGTGTGTTTATCAGTGTTATATACTTGGTTTGTATGATATTATAACCATCAAGATAATGTTAAGGGCTGTTAAAAGGACCGATTCTCAATTTAGAAAGAGTGTGATTTTCCGAATATGTCCGAATCGGGAAATCTATGAAGAAAGTGAAAGCATAAATTTCAAGAAATTCCTCCCAACAGCTGAAGTTCTCAAAATGCAGCATATGTAGAAAAGATAGAATTATCATGTTGTCATAATAGGCAAGATGTGCTTAATAGTTAAACATTCTAATTTCATTAGTCAGAGTTATTAATAAGAAGAATCATCCAAGTTTCCAAAAGTAATTCTTTTGTCGATGTTTTTTCTTACCAAGTTCGTCCTAGAATCCGTTTCTTAAACCCCCTGCTGAACCCCTGTATTTCAACCCCAGACGGTAATACCAGACCACAATCCCCTCGACAGAAGGAAGTGATGATTCAGTACATTACAAAAGGAGTACAATGGTATCATAAGGGATGACACCGTATTAGAGCCGTACATGACGATGTAAGCGATTTTTGTACGAGATATTGACCTCTTAATTGTTGCACACGTATTGTGAGACGGTAGATTATAAAAGGCCGTTAACAGTTTGCTATCCATATCAACCTCATTATGTGAACTATATTTTATTTCAACCTCATTCATGTGAATTTCTGTTCAATTCTCCATGAAAAGTCCGCCATTAAAAATGACTGTGATTTTAGAACGAATCAATTAGGACATAACATATGCTTGCAATTTCCAAACAAATGTACTGTTATTATTTGTTGTACACGAATGTATTAAAAACTCGATAAAAAATGTCCTCGTGTTAAAATGCAAGTCGAATAAAGTACTCCTTTGTAAAATTGTTGTTGTCGTTGTGATACTTTTACTTGTTAATGATGCCTTACAACCTTAACACACAATGGTGTCGGGTTCAAATACAATGTATGTCAGTGTTTCAGTACGACAAAGACGTTTCCTTAAAAAACTATAAACACCCCCTGGTTCCTTGTCGTTGTCGATGATGGTATACAACAAAGGGAACAACCGTTGTTCCTCCCGTTGACGAAATAAAACCCCGCAGATTTATCTCGTAGCACTCGCGATAGAGGTATACAACAAGGGAAGCAATCCTAGTCGATAGCAATGACGGAATATAACAATGGGAAATAACCCTTGTCGCTCCCGATGATAAAAACAACATTGTCGCTCGCGATGACGAAAACAACCCGAACGAACAACCGTTGTCGCCCCCGATGACGGAATACAAACGAAGGTACAAACAACCGTTGTCACCCCGATGACGAAATACAACCGGAAGATACAACCGTTATCGCTCCGATGATGAAATACAACCGGAAGGTATTACCGTTGTCGCTCGCCGATGACGAAATACAACCGGAAGGAACAGCATATGTCACCCCAATGACGGAAAACAACTCGAGGAAAACCGTTGTCGCCCCCGATGACGAAATACAACCCGAAGGAACAGCCGTTGTCGCCCCAGATAGCGAAATACAACCCGTAGTACCGCCGATGACGAAATACAACCCGAGGTACAACCGTTGTCGCCCCGATGACGAAATACAACCCGAAGAATACAATTATTTTTGCTCCCGATGACGGAACAAAAACCGAGGAAACAACTTTTTCGCTCTCGATGACGAAATACAACTCGGGGAAACACATCTTTTCGCTTTCAAGGCCGTTGTACAACCCGGGGAACAAATAATTTTGCTTCCTATGACAAAACACAGCCTTGTTGATCCCGACGGCGGGCTAAAATCCAAGAATATTTATGGCCTTTATTGTGAAAGAATAAATTATGTATTTAAATATAAGCTCTTGCGAAAGATATGTTAAAAACATACATGGACGCAGAAACTGAGGAAATCCGACGATATCAAGATCCATACAAATGTGCGGGTACTTTTATGAACAGATTTGGGTTTCAAATGCGTAATTTTCCGAGTGTCATATGTGACCCTTTCGTTGGAATTTGTTGGCGCTAAAAAGTGCCGTTTGTTTGTGAGAAGGTAATCTCACTGTCCTAACCACGCCTTACATGGTTATTTGTCCCTCGGTTGTCTCATCCAGTTCGCTGTCCTCTTCGTCTTCATCATCGTCCACGTACCGAGTGACGCCGTATCCTAGGAAGTTGTCGTCCAACTCGTCGCCACTCTCCTCGGAGAAGGCGTGTTCGACTAGGATGTTCTGTCGAACCTTGCTGATCTGGAATGCTTTTTGTGTGGCATACTCGTAGAACATGTTTCGGACACCCTCTGTCATGGCCATGCGCATGCGCAGAATGTACCGGAACGTGCGATCCCCGCCGCGGTCAGCCCGTTCGTACTTATGGGACAGTTCGTCCATTGCTACGTTGAGAACGGACAGCTGAACGCATGCGCCATGATAGAATCGTTCCAGTTCTACGAGACGGTCCTTCAAGTGGCATATCTTCTCTGAAGACATTTTGTCGGGCTGATGCGTCACTTCCGGAA